AAAGTTACATGATTCACCTCTTGCATTACATAAAAACAATATTTAGCCTAGAAATTTAAAGTCACAAAATTGAAGGTATTTATTGAAGATAAAAGTTCCTAGACCTTTATTTGACTTAATTAAAAAAAAAGACAAAAAAAAATTTCTAAACCTTGATTATTTATAAAAATATCATAGATACACACAGATACTCCAAAATACTTTATTCTAAAAAGCACAAAATAGGAAAAAAATACATAGAATGGAAAATAATGCATATAACATAATAATAATAATTTGGCTCATTTCTCAGAGGAAGAGGCAGAGAATGTAATGTCTATGTAAAACTTTATCTCTAGTGGATAGGAAATAAAAAAATACAAAAAGGGTATCTAAGGGTGAGCAGGGTGACTAACACCTGTAATCTGAGCACTTGGGTGGCCGAGGCAGGTGGATTGCCTGAGCTCACAGGTTTGAGACCAGCCTGAGTCATAGCAAGAACAAGTCTCCAGAAAAATAGCCGGGAGTTGTGGCTGGTGCATGTAGCCCCAGATATTCAGGAGGCTGAGGCAAGAGGGTTGCTTTATCCTAGGAGTTTGAGGTTGCTGTGAGCTGCTATGCCACAGCACTCTACCAAGGGTGACAAAGTGAGACTCTGTGTCAAAAAACAAAGTTAAAGAGGTCTATGGTGATGAAACTCTAATCCAATAGGACCACCACAATGCCTGGATAATTTCCTTATTTTTTAGTAGAGACGATGTCTCCTTTTTCCTTAGGCTGATCTCAAACTCCTGAGCTCAAGCAATATACCTATCCTGTCCTCCCAGAGTGCTAAGATTACAAGTATGAGTCACCACACTTGGTCAAACTTGGGGTAATGGCATTAGTAAGTAGGAAGTAAAGTAAATTTAGGAATAGAAACCAATAGAAGCCCAGCCAGGAGGCTGAAGCAGGCATCACTGTGGGAAATATGATGGCCCAGACCATGGAGGAACCTGAGGTAGTTGTTAGAAGTTGTTAGTGGCACTGGCTTTATAAATAATATGTTATAATTCTCCAGTGTCTTTGTGTCCTCATATTCCAAAGAAGTTTTTGGTGTTTATGTTATGACTGAAGCAGGCAGCTTAGGGGCCTTGATGTGACAGGACTGAAACAGTGAGAAACCAAACTCTATCTCAGCCCCAATAGCTCAGCAACTGCAGCCTTAGAGAAAGGAGAGAAGAGACAGAGAGCTCTCAGGACAAGTTGCTGAGCAGAACTTTGTAACTTTCTGTCCACTGATGTAATTCTTTTGAGTTTTTCCCCAGGAACATGAGGACCTCCTTGCAGCCCTGAGATCACTGCAGAGCTTTACCCTGCCTGATTGTCCAGAGTAAGACAAGATGAGTGATACACCAGCACAGATTGTGCTCACGAGTCACTGAGCATGGGAACAGGGGTAAAAGAACTACTGCCATGAAGCCCTAGCTCATTATAACACTAAAATTCTCACTCAGGGGAGGGATCTATCCATTTTTTGTTTATGGGATGTATTTACTAACATGATTCCTCACTGTGCTTGTGTGCCCTGTACTCCTCCCCAAACATATAATGGACTTCACTCCCCTTATGCATTATTCATTTTCACCTCCATAAAAACCCATTGACCTTTCTAATCAGAGAGGTGGATTTGATGTAATCTGTGCCCTTGCCCCCACTAGTTGACATGTCTTCTGAAATAAATCTCTCTCTTTATTTTTTTTTGGCCAGGGCTGGGTTTGACCCTGCTACTTCTGGTATATGGGGCCAGAGCCGTACTCCTTGAGCCACAGGCACCTCCCAATAAATCATTTTTTTATTAACAATCATGGTTGTCTCAGTAATTACCTATCTACAGGGTAAGCAACATTGAATTCCCCTGTGGGTTCATTAACATCAGGTTGATTGTACAATTCAAATAAAGATAATAGTCCAAGATTAATCAAGTCCTTTTTTTTGGTTCTAGCAAATGTGAACTTCTCGGTCTGGGCTAGATAAACATTAAGGAAGACATGACTAATATTAAAAAGGAATGGTTGTCAGATTGTACTTAGGATAAGAAAGAAAAAATGCATTGGAATCATCAATATTTAGAAGACATAATTTAAGTTAAATAGGTCCATGGTGATGAAACTCTAATCCAATAGGACTAGTTCTTTTAAGAAGTGAAAGTTACTTAGACATGTGTGTGCAGATAAAGGTCATGGGAAAATGGCTGGGTGTGGTGGGTCATGCCTATACCTAATCCTAATACTCTTAGAGGCTATGGTAAGAGGACTGCATGAGCTCTTTGGTTCAAGACATAAGCTTGAATGAGAAGGAAACCAAACTCTACTAAAAATAGATACATAAGCTCAAGGTGGAGGTACACATCTCTAGTCCCAGGTACACTGGAGCATGAGGCAGGAGGATGGTTTGACCCCAGAAGTTTGAGTTTGCTGTGAGCTAGCCTGATGCCATGGCACTCTAGTCTTTGTAAGAGTGAGTAAGGAGGGGGAGTGAATGAATGAAAACTTTGAGAGGTGATGAATTGTGGATTGTGTTGATGTCTTTTTCCCAGATGTCTATATTTTACGTAGTTTCTAACTTATCAAGTTATACATTTTTGTTATTTATTTATTTTAATTTACTTTTTTAGAGACAGAGTGTCACTTTATCACCTTGGGCAGAGTGCCCTGGCATCACCACTCATTAACAACCTCCAACTCCTGGGCTTAGGTGATTCTTTTGCCTCAGCCTCTGGAGTAGCTGGGACTACAGGTGCATTTTTGTGATTTTTTTTTTAGACAAAGTCTCACTCTGTTGCTTGAGTAGAGTACCATGTCAGCATAGCTCACAACAACCTCAAGCTCTTGTGCTTAAATGATCCTTTTTGTCTCAGTCTTCCAAGTAGCTGGGAATACAGGTATCCATCACAATACCCAGCTAGTTTTTCTCTCTTTTCTTTCTTTCTTTTTTTTTTTTTAGTAGAGACTGGATGAGTCTTGCTCAGACTCTGATGATGTTAGGATTACAGGAACAAGCCAACATACCCAGCCCCAAATTATACAATTTTAAATGTATACATTTGATTTTATGCCAATTATACCACATAAAAATGTAGGCTGTATATACAATGTCAATTATGAAAAACATAAAATTAATGGCTCAGCACCTGTGGCTCAAGCGGCTAAGGCACTAGTCACATATATCTCAGCTGGCATGTTTGAATCCAGCCTGGGCTGTCAAATAACAATGATGGATGCAACCAAAAAATAGCCAAGCATTGTGGCCGGCACCTATAGTCCCACCTACTTGGTGAGGTGGAGGCAGAAGAATCGCTAGAGCCCAGTAGTTGGAGGTTGCTGTGAGCTGTGATGACACAGCACTCTACCCCAGGGAGACAGCTTGAGGCTCTGTCTCAATGAATAAGAAATAAAATTAACTATTTCAACAACCAAAATATTCTGTAT